AGAATCTGTCCCGAACCGATGGTTACAGAAAGGTCGCGGGTTTGATAATTATGCAACATAAATTATAATATATCTTGTGAATGTGCAACTAAATGACCGGAGAAACCGTTTGTCATCATTTCCGCGAGTTATGAAAAAAAAAAAAAAATACCACTCAACTTCAACTTCCCGAATGTGCTGCTAATTTCCGGGAACTAAATGCGCGAAATAATGCTAAATATTGTATTTAAAAACACCGCTAAGTTCGACTTTGATAGGGGCGGACATTGTGCCCGGGAAGACACCTTCGATATTTTATTTTACAATTAGAATAGGATTCAGGCAATGTTGACAGAGTCATAACCTGTACTGACGCTTGTGTGCCGAACAAATCACTGAACACCCCGCTGGTATTTCTACCCGTGGCGACACCTCGAAAAGGCGAGAAGACCTATTTTCCGTGACGTTCAAGCGTAACATCAGAGTAGGCTCGTAAAGGCCGGTTCACACATCTACGTTCCGAGGAACTACAGAAACGGCACGAACGATATGACACCGGGACAACCGTGACACATGATTGCTTGACAAAGCTTCTCATTGCATTGTCGGTCACGCTCTGTAATACGAACGGAATCGACCCCTTTGTCATGTCGTTCGTGTTGTTTTTGTCGTTTCTGTCGCTCGAAACGCAGATTTGTGAACCGGGCTTGGGATAATAGACCGACCTCATCGCCAGTTTCGCAATGCCTCTTCTGTCGCAATGAATTGCGGGAACTGTGGTCTTTCCGCACGAGGGTAAACGCCACGGTAGTGCACGAGACGAGCCGTCTCGTGCACCACCGCTGCCTCCTGTGAAGTACAACTATGGCTGCGTCACCCACGCTCCAGACGGTTGGTGAGACCGGTCTATTGGTCAAAGGCTACGTTTACATGAATGCGATCGTAGCACATCGAATCGAGCAGCGACCAGTCACTCGCAGCCTGTCTTCTTACTTCTTCCTCTTCTACCCAACTGCTACCAATCAAAATCGTGAATTCTCAACTCGATGCGCTACGGTCGCATCCATGTAAATGCAGCCATTGCCAACGTTGGTCAAAGCGAACAGCGAGCTCTCGTTTTCTTTCTTTGCCGGGGGGGGGGGGGGGGGTATTTACAGATATTGCGTTTACCTGGTTGATAACAATAAACTAATGATGTGTTGGGCCTGAAATATTCGCTACAGTACACACGGATGAGCACTATATGAATAGGATTATGCTTCCAGCGAGAGCTCGCGCACGTAGAATCGGTGAGCTGCCCTACGGCAAAGAAGACGACGTAGACGATTGAGGAGTTTCAGCGACGATGTCACCGCCCTGGCGGCCGGTCGCCAAAAGTGAAAGAGGGGGATAGGTTATGGGGGGCGTTGGCTTTGTGTAAATGCGTTGGCCGCGAACGTAGGCTTATAAACTTCGGCAGCAAGAATATTACGCGGCTCTAGTGTTCCGGTACGAGCAACAGAGCTAGCTGACACGATCTGCTACGACTAGCTACGACCACCCGCCGCAGCGATGCAGACGTCGAAGGAGCGCAACCTCTGTACTACGCAAGTCAGTCGCCGTCGCCCGACGCAGATCGTTGGGCATTCAGGGCTTTCCGCCCCGGATTCTTCGCTTGTACTTGGAACCGAGTATTATTTCCTTTGCTTGTGTATGTGCTCAGTTGTTGGATATGGACCTCATAGAGCAGTTCTTCAGACTCAACAGCGACTCAAAGTTGACGGCGGAGAGGCTTGCAGCAACGCTTTCGGTTGGTGCTTGGGTGTGACGACTGCACAGGTAAATTTTAATATAGCTGCTAGCATGGCGGGCCATAGCTTTATATTGGCTCGATTTTAAGTTTAAGTACTCCGTGCAAAGGCGAATCTATCGCGTTTCTAATCCACCTTTTTTTTGTTGTTGTTGTTGTTTTTATCACGCACGGCCGACTACTAAGCAAATGCTTCTGTACCGATCACGGAGTGAATGTCTTCAGACTTCGGCCTTACATTGCGGAACGCCCAATAAAAAGTAATGTTCGTTCGGCGAGAAAACTTCCCTTTCGAGGGTCCTTCTTTGATTGATTGATAATTTCTCCCGTATCTAGGTGCTTTAATCAACACGATCGATTAGGTTTGCTTCCCTAGTTAAGACATTTTGCTACCACACGCGGCACTAATGCTTGGCACGATGTATGCCACTGGTGGTATTGTAAACTGGTTTACTTCCAAAGCTAAAAGTGTAACAGGTGGGACTATTCAGTTTGCTAAAAATGTGATGATATGGGAATTTCGTTGTATAACTAGCGTTTTATGTTTAAGATTGATAAGAAACATGCTCATATGATGATGCATGTATACAGCATCAGTTTTGCAGATCCAGAATGGGTGTGCTGGTGGCTACAGCCTCAAGGTTTTTAATGGACGAAATCGGGGGTGATTACACGGCGATAAATATTGCGGTGGAAAACTGCCCATTGACTCGGTGAGTTTTGATTGTGACCATTGGTGTGCTGTTGGTAAATTAGGTAATGGCACACCTTTTCCCTCACCATCTGGCTTCAAGGAACATCCTGTCTAGATGTGCTTAAATATGTTCATTTCAAGGTTCAGTTGACCCCTCTGCATCATTACAGGAAGGCAGTCTCAAGCCGCAACAAACAGTAGTGAATATACGATGAATAATAACAGGCAGTGTCCAGGCGTATAGTCCGCAGAAACCAATTCGAACCGAAATATGTTTTTTTAGATAGTTTGCATTTGGTGTATGCAAACTATCTTGGTGGTGCAGGACCTGGTTTCTGCGCCCAGTGCATAGTCCGCCAAGCTGGTGCGTTGTGTTTTCGTGCTTTTTTTCCTGGGTGGCATTTTCTTCGCAAGTTCTTCGGCGAATGCTATTGAGCCTGAAGAACTGCTCTTGAGGCCAATATCCAGCCACTGAGCACAGACACAAGCACAGAAAATAACACTTGGTTCTAAGTACACATGAAGCACCTGGGCGGAAAGCAGTGAATGTCAAACGAGCAGCGTCGGGTGACGGCGACCGATTGCGTTGCACCCCTTCGACGCCTGCATCGCTGCGGTGGGTGGTCGTAGCTACTCGTAGCGAGATGGTCTTCATTTCAAGCAAGAAATCTTGCCATACCCTAGTCATGATATGTGTGCAAGTGTTCGACGACGTGGGCTCTCTCACGATGGTGCAGTTGTCATCAAGAAAGGTACATATCAACAATGTTTGGCGTTTGAGGCTGAAACTATGACGCATACTTTATCTAAACCTAAATTTATCGGTCTGCGGCTACAAACATTTTCGTTGACGTTGTTTAGATGATGTAACCATTCAGGCCTCGCATTAAATGGTGTTGCGAACTCTTCGGTTGTATATGAAAACCTATTTTTGCCCTAATAAAATACATTTTCAAAAGGACACGTGTCTTGTCTTCTGCTGATACATAGCTTTCAATTTACAATGCAGACGCAAAAGAAAATTAACTGTGTACACCTACCACTTAGCATAATCATCTTTTTCCATTCATTCTTGAGCACACTCAAATATCAGCTTAGGTTGCTCTTGTTTCAGAAGCTTCGCCCTCTTTTGTAAAAAGAAAAAAAGTTTAAAAAGCTTTACCTTTGTTCTCCTTTTGGCATTTAATACAGACTTGTTTGTTTTGCAGATCACACACAGCAGATATCACCGTGGTACATACAACTCGAAGGGCCGATGAGACTATTGCTATTACAATAAAGTTTTCCATAAGAGCCAAAAGGAGGCTTGTAGGGGTGCACAAGCACATCGAAACGAGATTGGCGCTTCCGGGGCTTGTTTACATTATGCATAAAAACAGGACGATCGGCGACTAGCTGATCGCAATATAACACCAAGGATACCGATGTTTCCATACATAGAACGCAGGATAAAGACCTCAATCATCCCTTGTATGCTGTAACTGTCATACTTTCCATCCAACCGCTTTTTAGCACAATTAACTAGAACAACCGAAGAGTTCGCAACACCGTTTAATGCGAGGCCCTGAATGGTTACTTCATCTAAGCAACGCCAACGAAAATGTTTGTAGCCGCAGACCGATAAGTTTAGTTTTAGATAAAGTACGCGTCACAGTTTCAACGCGCCAACATTATTGATATGCACCTTTCTTTGGACCCGCGTACATTCGGTTCAACTTGATGACAGCTGCACCAGTGTGAGAGCTCACGTCGAACACTTGCACACATATCTTGACTATGGCAAGATTGCTTGCCTTCGACTGGCTTGAACACTTCATTTGTAGCATCACGGCAGGTCTTGGTTGAAGCGATGATCGTCTCGCACACGTAAACAAACAGAGAACAACACGCTTGGTTTAATTTATACGCTACCGGTCTACGGGCGTCGCAAATCTATCCCCCTCTTTTCCGCCATTTTGGATCGTTCGGAGCGCCCCCTATATTCGCTGAAACTCCTCATGCTCCGACTCTATAACAATTCAAATACCTCGTTCATTGGACTTTTAAAGACTACCGAAACCGACAGATTAACCTCTACGTCACTACCTATTTCGGAACACTTCCGAGACGAGAATGCAAAACTTCAGTTTTGGAATTTTGCGTGCATTACTGGGCACAAAATTAGCCTCATAGGATGCTACAAAAAATGAGCGGTATACTAAGCCACCACTGCGTCGAGAAAAACTCCTTTTAGACAAAGTTTGGAAGGATTCAGCATCTCGCGAGCGGCAAGTGTGCACGCGGTCAAAAGCACGACAGAAAGCAACAATTACGTCCGACCGTCTGGCTGCCGAGCGCCGAGCCTCAGCTTCCCCCCCCCCCCCCCCCCCCCATATAGGGCACGCTCCTTACGTAAACAAATATCTGCTAGACAGGCCGAGCACGCGCCCAAACGGCTATAGCGTCGAAGCGCTCAAGTTTCGCCGCCAACTACAGCGCCATTCCAGCCCCTGGTGGGACGCTATCGTCCGAGTGGTTCGCGTTTTTCTTCCCGCCTCGACGCCATCGCCAGTGGACTACGCTAATCGAGGCAGTTGCGATGGAAAAAAAACGCGCGCCTGGCACTCAGTACTGTTGTGTGGTCGGTTGCAGTAATAACCTCCGTGACTGTAGTAGTAGCAGAACTAGTGGCCAACCGTTGAAGTTCTATCGGTTTCCTGGAAGGCCGTACGAGTGTGCACGACGCCAAGCCTGGATCGCGGCAGTGCGCCGGCAAAAGTAAGCTTCTCTTTTGTTGATGCATGAATTTCGCTCTGTATACCGAAAGAGAAACGAGGTGGAATCCGTTTCAGAACATAAACAGTGTGAATACCAAACGCGGCAAAGCAATTTGGCCATGCGTGTATGACTGGATATCCCATTAATGTTGCGTTCGATTAAGTGTGGTGATTGGCGGGACCCAGATCGCCACGTCGCACTTTCTTTGCATTATTATTTTCAATTTAGTCATTGACAAGGTGAGAACGGCGTCGCTCTCGTTGCCTTTCGCCTGGAGCGCTCTCCAGCGCTTTACTTTTGCCGTGCTTCTGCTGCGCGTGTACGCTCCCGAGACGCTTTTGCCGTGCTTCGGCTGCGCGTGTACGCTCCCGAGGCGCCGTACTGTTATCGAATAAAGCGGGACGACAAACTCCTCCCTGTCGTTCTCATTTTATTTCGTCTCGGTTTTTCGTATATCGCAACAAAAGTCTTACATTGTTCCTTTTTTCAGCGAGGACGGTTCGAACTGGGTGCCCTCAGCGTCGACCAGGATATGTAGTGCCCATTTCGTCGACAATTGCCGGAACGACGCGGAGGCCCACCCATCTTACATCCCGACCATCTTTCCTCCAGTGTACAAAAAAAAGGCACCCAACGCGGAGAGGGCGAAGAGGTACTAGTAACCTGATTTATGTCTAGAGCTCTGCATTTCCGGATTTGATTTTCGATGAAAGTAGGAGGGTATTTTCGAATAAGATGTACTTTAAAAAAAAAGCCAAGCAAGCTGGTTGATATTTATCGTTACAAAAACACCAACCCGAGACCAATATTCTGCATTTACCGGAATTGAATTTCGTGATATGCACAATTCTTTAGAATTCGACTTGAAGTAGAATATTTTCAGTTATAAAAAGACGCACGAAGCTATTTTGCTTGTAATTAAAAGAATGTAGCACCACTCAAGCAGGCTCCAGGAGGTCTCTGTTGCTGTGCAAAATGACCTGTTTTACTGACAATTGTTTCAAAATTTTTCTACAGCCTTATTGTTCAATGCAAAACCCTCTCTGGGACATATGGTAAAAGTACTAATTAGTTCCCTTTATAGGCTGCTCAACAGGTCAGGACGACTTCAGCCTCAGCCACCACAGCTGGAGACGCCTACTGTTCCCAGTGCGCCGCCAAGGTCGGAGGACACCGTCGAGGACGAGAATGTTGCTGACTGGGACCCCCTCCAGATGCTGGTGGACGTTGCAGCCGAGGCGGTGCCAGAGAAGCACACGTCTACAGTGGTGAGCAATCCTGTGTGGCTATGTGATTGTTAAACACATTATTCAGAAACCCCCATTACAAGCGCAGGTACAAATTCTGTCTTTACATATTAATGCCCACTATTTTTTACCTCAATATTTACCATTGTCAGTGCAGATAATTTCTTTATTTCTTTGTGGCATCAAATTTATGAGCATTATTATAGAGCCTGTTTTCCCTGTTATTGCCCCTTAGGGAACACAGTGTGATCCCACGCCACAGATCGGAGGACCACTGAGGCTCTTGTTATCCGCAACGGATGGCCAGGACAGATCGACCCAGGTCACTCACGCAGAACAAGTCAATGCGGTAATTTTAATGTCCTAGTTTCAAGATTACACGCAACTTCCCATACTTTAGTTTCTACTTTGCATAGCTCAATTGAAAGTACTCATATTGTCACGAATGACAGATGATGAGGCGACGAATGAACAGAAACAAAACATTTGATTTGGCAAACTTGAGCTGAAAACGCAAATACAAAGAGGTAGTGTCGAAAGTCGACAGAGTAGCACAATCAAGCACAAGAGCGAGACTGACTTGTACGGCACGGCGCGGCTTCCATGGGAGCCTAGAATATTCTACCTCGATCCTTCTTGCACTATACATTCTGCCCATGAATAGGCTAGATGGTTCTCCAATTTTCCCAAACTTCTACTTTCATAAAGAAAGATAAACCACACGCAGTGCCAGGAATCGAACCCGAACCACCTGCGTGTGAGCCGGATGTGCTGCCGACTTGGCTACGTAAGCGTGTGGCAATATGTATAGAGGTGATTTATATTTTGCAATTTCTCTCGTCAGGTTTCAAGCACGGAGGGAGGCTGGCGACGGCAGTGTGGGTTTCTTGGCTTCGAGTCGCTCAAGTCATCCGAGCACGCTCTCCAGGACCTATGTGGGGTCACCATGACTGTTTTTAGTTTGTTGTTAAGCCTCACTCCAGCAACCAGGTACAGAAAGAGCGACATTTCAGCTGAGGACAAACTCACCCTCTTCCTTATGAAGCTTAAACTGGGGATCAGCTTCACTGCACTAGCCGCCCTCTTCTCGGTCCACAAGACGACAGCGTCTCGAACATTCAAAGCACTACTGGACATTCTAAGTGTGAGGCTCGAGCGCTGGGTGTTTGTGCCAGCTCGAGACATCATCAAGGAGTCGCTGCCACCGGCCTTCAAAACACACTATCCAGGCTGTACATTTATCATAGATTGCACAGAGATTCGTACTGAAACTCCCTCCGACCCTGAGCAGCAGCACTACATGTACTCGAGTTACAAGAGTGGCTACACCATCAAATTACTAATTGGCATAATTCCTAATGGCATGATTTCATTCGTATCTAAAATCTATGGGGGGCGACACAGTGACAGTCACATCACAGTAAATTCAGGGTTTTTATCTTTGGTTCAACCCGGCGATGTCGTTTTAAGCGACAAGGGCTTTCCCAGCATCCGGACTACCATGGCTGAGAAGGGTGCTGTGCTTGTCATGCCGCCTTTCTCAGTTGGAGGTCAGCAGCTTTCCCAAGAGGACATGGACAACGCCTTCCACATTGCACAGGTCCGCATCCATGTGGAGAGAGTAATTCAAAGGCTGAAAAATTTCCACATTTTGAAACACAGAATCCCGCTCACTCTAATCCCACAAATGGACCAGGTCGTCCAAGTATGCTCCGCTCTTGTTAACATGCAGGCACCAATTATAAAGAAATAAGAAGACAATAAACAATGTCTCGAACTGAGCCAAGTACGAAACATTGTTTATCTGTCTTCATGTACCTGTTCCTTCCGTTTGTGCAGAAAATGCTACAAATATGGTAATGCACACTTTGGAGACTTCCCTCAACTGTTGGCTTCTGAAAATATTGTCATGTACAGTCGGGAGCAAAAGTTTGCGGGGCACCGAAGCGCATGCCGAAATGCATCGCCACGCCGTACAACGGCGCGCCGCCGCATTAAAAAGCCACGCTTTGCGCATGCGCGCCCTTCGTGCTGGCAGTGATGTCTCTTTCGCTCGTTTCTGTCCGACTCACTCCTGATAACCGGAGTCGGCGCCAGGGGCGCATGTTGCCGTTTCGCTGGCTGTCATGCCTGGCGTCCTCTTCGGCCGCCACAGCAGCCGCGCTGGGTGACGGAGCGCCTGGTTAACCCCCTCCCCTTCCCTACGCGAGCTCCGTGACAAAGCGCGGCAGCTGAAGCAGACGCGCAGCATGACAGCCAGCGAAGCGCTAACTCGTGCCCCTGGCGCCGGCTCCTGTTATCAGGAGTGCGTCGGAAAGAAACGAGCGAAAGAGACATGAATGCGAACACGAAAGGCACGCATGCGCAAAGCGCGTCTCCTTAATGCGGCGTTGCGCCGTCGGACGGCGGGGCGATGTATTTCGGCACGCGCTCCCGTGCCCCGCAAACTTTTGCTCCCGACTGTACAGTAACTGTAATTTCATCGTCATGTAACGGTTAAAATATTTTCCTGTGTAGAAACTGGGGTTTTTGTTTTCCACAACCTCACTTGGCGCATGTTATAGTGGTGCGACCTATGTATGTTTTTCTCCATATGTATGGACTTCAGTTATGCAGCCTTGCCACAGGATGACCGTGCAAATATATAAGTACTGCTTATACAAAGGTGCGACTTATGTACCAACTTTTTCGTAAAAACAACCTTTCATAGGAGGTTTGGCTTATACAATGGTGCGACTTATGGACCAAAAAATATGGTACCGTCTAATGCACGTTAGAAACTCCAGGTTAGCAGTTGTACTACATCGAAGAAATTGGCCCTCATAGCCGAGACTCCAGGTGCCATTTTGAGGCAGACCAGCTTCCCACTGTAAACATTTATGCAACAGGCTTGATTCAGATTTTTAAGATGAAATTAGTACACCTGAGCTAATTATTTTTTAAGTATTTAGTCAGGTGCTTGTCTTGTCCTCTTAGTGCAACCTCCAAGTGAAGTCTAACATTACTTTTTTTTTTTATGCGTCCGAATCTTACCCTTTCTCTTGACTAAATTAATGAACCAAAGATAATCTGAACCTAAAACAATATTGCTGTCTGGAACGTCTGTGTAGCGACTCCTTGCAGGCTGCTGGTCGCACTGCCCTCGCAAAATTTCTCATCTACACCACGCATCAGAGGCCTGTCAAGGCAGACTAACCCCCGCTGTCTAAACATCCATAGAAGTTACTAGGGCCGTGTTCCAAAATGTACTCGATCTTACTCCAGGGTAAGGGTTTTGTATTTCAGCGTTGAAAAACGTACCAGCATCCAGTGTTACTCCACCTGCGTCATCACACGACATGATCTGCCGTAGTAACGGATCCATTTGAGTAAGATTTGGAACACATCCTAGGCAACGAGGGCACTTGATGGAGGCTAGTTGCAGTGAAGCTATAGTGTATCGGTTGCATGTGAAAGATACCCAAGTGGACTAAATGAATTTAATCCTGGGTTCAATCCCCACCCCTGCCCGTTTCAATCTGGATGAGCATCGTGCGGTCGTGTACCACTACTGCGTGGTGCACGTTAAAGACTCCGGGCTAGCGGTTGTACTACACTGGCTAAATTGCTCATCTACAGCTGGGAGATTTGTTGCCCATTGAGGCAGACCAAGTTCTAGGCTGTATAAAGATACAGACAACCCAATTTTTTTTTTTTTACATCTACTCAGCTAGTGGGAACATTGTCTCATTTTGGTATTGGAAGCAGGTATTTTGTACCCTCATGCTGGTGTCGCTCTTCTGTATTTGAGTTAGCGTGTACTCCATTTCGGCATAACTTGGCAAAGGTTGCAAACGAGGAGAGGTAGTGCCTGGTTTATTTCTTCATAAATTGGGAGGAATTTTTTGTGTGATTTTTACTTCGTCGATTAATCTCCCACCAATCACATTCTTGTATTCACTGCAGCTGTGTTTATAGTGGTTCTTTTTTTTTTTATTCATGTATCCTCATGCAATGCATTTATGTTGAACCTATCCATTGCAGTATTTTCGTTTTGTGAAAGTCTCAGCCGCAATGTTTTTTATGAATGACCCCATCGTTGGCCGTGCACACTGATAACTGTCAAAAATATATTTTTTAGAATGTTGCACATGCCTGTAAACATGTGAAGATGTATAGGTGACATTTTCTTTTCTATTTATAAATATGACAGATTCAGAGGTTGTATAACAAGAACTTTATTCAAAAACATCAATTCTACACTGGCAAGTTTGGAAGATCTTTTCCTAAAAAATAAAAAATTATTCTTTCATTGATAGCATGTTTTCTTTACTTAAGTGTTCCCTACATATATGGGGTATAATTGCACATAGCCCCAAAGAATGGCATTTTACAGTAATTTCATGATGAAATAAATAGTGCAGTCTAGAATTAAAATAAAATTGAAAGCAGATATAATGAAATTGAAATATAAAAAAAGTCACTTGAAAAGCATTGGGAAAAAGTGGGTGAAGTAAAAATATTCAAATTTTAGTACTGATTCCATGAGAAAACGCTCGTCCCTCTTTACCAGGACAGACTCTGATCCCTTGGGACTATACACATAGAAGATGGCCTTCTTGAGGTTCAACACATACAGTTGTACCTGCACCTGTGTATAGTATGGTTGCGGTGGCTCGAGTGAAAGCTCACCGTCCGTGTTGGTGAGGTAGGCAACATTGCAGATTCCTGCTTGACGATCAAAAATGGGGCGGGTCCTGCACGATTCTGGGCACTTGATTTCAATGAGGACGGTTTCCCCGCTTACTTGGATGAGGCCGTCCGGACTGCAGCAGAGCCAGGGCTGCTCGGGCATGACGACAAGTCCCGTCTGAAACAGTAAACTATAAATATCTTTCTGCACTAAGAGTGCAAGATCAGTGTGGGCATGAAAATCCCTTGCCTCAAAAACCGGTGTGCCCAGTTTACTCTGCAGCTCCTTCCTTGCTGTTGGCTCCGTCTCGATGCCTGCATGTATGCATACAAGGTACGACAAAATGCAAGACAATGTATGAACAGATCATCTACAAAGCTTTGCCTCCACACATTCACTGTGATGTCATCATGCAGTGCATTGCCAAAGTCCAAACTGAGTATATGCTAATTACCATACTGGACAGCTTTGTTTGTGAAGCGCTTCGGTCTGCACATGCCCAAGGCTAGAGCCTCAAAGTTTCCTCCTCTTGTGCGAATCGCATTCGCGGTCGTGCTTGAGATGCGCATGCGGCGCTCTTCATGCCACCTGGACGCATTAGCCAGACAAAAAGCAAAGCAGGCAAAAGCTCTTCCCACCACCCAAGCAAAGCAAGCAACCATTTTGCACCATTCACATGCTGTGATAGTACATTCAAAGGATTACAAGGTGTAATAATGTTCTAAGACTAGTTTTGTAACGTGGTAATTTATGTGTAGTTTTGTAGCATGGTAATTCACGCACAGGCGTCAAAAGCATGGATCTTCATGTGTCGTTATACCTAAGGTCGTCGTTCTAGGAGCACTTGAAACTGCGCTGCATGTCTTTTTGCAACCATCTGCAAGAGCACGAGGGTTATTTAAGCATCGACCGGCAATGAGAGCGGAGAGAGCATCAATTTTGCGTCGGGCTCAGCAAATCTTGAACAGCAACCTTTGATGTAGCTTACTTGTCGAAAAAGCAGTGAATTGTGCGAGGTGTGAGTGGGGCTCGCACTTAAGGAATGGCAGAACACAACTGGAAGACAAAAAGAGGTTGGTAATGGTCGCTCTAGCTCTCTTCATCTTCCAGTAATGTTCTACCATCCTCGAAATGCAAGAGCCACTCGAGGCACCTCGCACGACTGATTTTTTGTCAAGCCTGCGGAATTATTTTAAAGGTTGCTGCATCAGATCTGCCCAGTTCAACACAGAATTAGTTTTCGCTCTATGCTCTCCTTGCACTTCATGCCAAAAGTGCAAATCTGTAGCACAGCTCTAAATGTTCCCAAAACAATGCCCTTTAGCACATGAAGGTCCCTGCCTTCAACAGCTGCGCACGCATCACTCTGTAATACTTTAACTACACCAGATCAAACGTTTGGTCTTTATGAGCCACTTCCCTACAGAAAAATTTGCTATACATTTTTTGGGATGTTTCTTTTGTTGTAATTATTGAAAATTGGGTCTTTATAATATGCTAGTTGATCTGAAAAGAATGTGCTTCACAGTGGTAACTATAAGCACTTGATAGATACTCACTCCCAGTCATGCAACAGGACAGGGAGAAGGTGAAATGCTTCAAACAGGCTCACGCCACATGCAGAAGCCACATGCCAGCGAGAAGTACAAAGGCTGAAGAGCAATGGAGTTAAGACTCGCATACAAGCAATGCAAACAAGCCACTTTGGAAAGGTGTTAAGGGATGAAGGACTAGCTATGTTAAACATTGCTACATCTGGCCGCAGTCTGTGTGATGCAGGATATAGTGCAAGCAGAAACATGCCGGGGGTTTGTTGACTGGCCCATCGTAGCCACTGCCAAGTCCTCGACATCGCAGAGGAGCATGACGTTGGCGACATACTGCTCCTGCAATGTATCGCCAAGCGCCGACAAAAAGTTCACAGCTTTAAAAGACATCCTCAGGCCCGTGGAGCAGGCGGTCATGTGGTGGTAGACCTCGCGAGGCCCCTTCATGGCAGCGAGGAGCCCCACAAGCCTTTCCTTGTCCATGGACAGGGACACCTTGGCGACCATGTCATCTACGACTTTCCTGCATATCAA